TGGAACAGTGGAACAGTGGAATGGTGGAACGTCGGAATGGTAGAACATCAAACCGAGGAATGGTAGCTGACTGTCCACAGATGAGTTTTGTTGGATAGCGATAACTTTTGCGGGAAGTTATTTAACTATTTACCTGTAATTGTCTTGCTACTTACAAAAAAAAAATACTAACATTTTTTGTGGATATTTGTCCACAAAAACAGGCAAACTGGAATACGCAAATTGGAAAAAGAAGTCCAGCCCGACTGAGATATAAGTCCCTCAACTGTCAAAGACGACAATCTATCTAACCATAACTCGTTCCGAATATAGATTCATTACCTTTCTATTTCTTTATACCATGCCACAAAAAAATACAGCCAATCAGAATACAGGAAAGCCGTTGTATATTCGACGGTGTTGCATCCAATGCTTGTGTTGGCCACTCTATTTTCTATGACGTGGTATTAAATTGTTATATAACGCTTTTGAATGAAAGACTCGTGTGTATACCAAGAAAATACACAGGTGACTGGTGGGATACTCCATGGTATTCCACTCGAGAGCTTTGTATAACTAGTTCTTATTTTGTATGTTATGGCACGTAGGCAGGGTCAAATTATATGGACTTGGTGCGCTAGTCCATTGCGGAGTTTCCTCTAGCATTAAACTTGACAGCCTGTATGCATTTATACACCCAGTTGAAGAGTGTTTGTGTACCGCTCAAGAACCCAAAGACCCCGGTCCCTCCTAATTGCAGGGTCAGTCTGTCACGTGGCGGTGTAAACTCCGGCCCAAACAAAGACGAGAGTTGCACAACAACTCCCTCGTTCTCTTGAGGTGCTCACACGTGTGCCCGGGGGGACTTCTATATAAAAAGGACGGGGGCTGCTCGTCGTACCTTTTGGGGGTTAAAAACGCGTTTTTGTTACCTCTTAAGGTGTTTAGCCTCAAAAGGTCCATAGCGGGAGGTTTCGCGGTACTTTTTAGGGTATTCAGCCGAAAAAAATATGAAAGGAGATAATGTGTTATTTTAGAATTGGTACTTGGTACCCTCACAAACTGAACAGAATCTTGGTACCTCTTAGGGTTTCTTTTCAAAATTTCTGACGAGCACCACCGTCCATTTTATATGGGAGTACACCGCCCGGGCACGTATGGCCATCGATTTAGTTAATTAGTTTTAACATGTTCAATTTTCTTTGAGATTCGTCCAGAGTTTTCACTTGTTTATCCAACCTTATCGCTAGCTGAGAGTCGGTGAGCCGTGTATCCGAAATCGGGCTTCAACTCTTGGACCCTCACTGTTCGTTGACCCGTGGCTAACAAGTCAACAGTACAGTCAAAAGGATGATTAATGGGGTAAATTTGCTTGAGAGTCATAACAGTCTCACGTATTTTATTAAGTATCGATTCATTTTAGCTTACGGGCAGAGCCAGTTACTACAAAAAGGACAACAGAGGTCATAAAAATTCTTGAGGAAAAGGGAAAAAAGAACGCAAGTGACAAACACTAAACATATCTTTAGACGTTATTTATTAGTTCTGAAACAGAAAATTTAAGTGGAGCAACGAGAAGACTACCACAACGGGAGCGAATTGACAAAACTACCGTATGTTCTTAAGTGTATGAGTTGTAATGTATCAATGATTTTTCTCAATGCAAGGCAACTCGATTTAACAGAGACGTTTAAGTTTGACAAGTTTGCTAAACAAAGCAGGTTATAGCAAAAAGAAAAAGTTTTACAACGGCAAAACTGTACTTGCTCAAGCTTACATTATATTTTTGTCAGCGGCTTGTTTTTGTTTCACGTTCACTGGCTTTCTGCTTCTGCTGGCTTTTTATAACAGTTTAAGAAACTGCTGATGAACTTTCGGCAGTTTGCGGTGAATTATTAAACAAAAGCCATCTGTTTAGCCACTCTNCGGGCAGAGCCAGTTACTACAAAAAGGACAACAGAGGTCATAAAAATTCTTGAGGAAAAGGGAAAAAAGAACGCAAGTGACAAACACTAAACATATCTTTAGACGTTATTTATTAGTTCTAAAACAGAAAATTTAAGTGGAGCAACGGGAAAACTACCACAACGGGGGCGAATTGACAAAACTACTGTATGTTCTTAAATAAGTGTATGAGTTGTAATGTATCAATGCAAGGCAACTCGATTTAACAGAGACGTTTAAGTCGTGAAAATGACCATAACGGAGGAAGATAACCTTAAGTTTGACAAGTTTGCAAAACAAAGCAGGTTATGGCAAAAATAAAAAGTTTTACAACGGCAAAACTGTAATTGCTCAAGCTTACATTATATTTTTGTTAGCGGCTTGTTTTTGTTCTACGTCAACTGGCTTTCTGCTTCTGCTGGCTTTTCATAACAGTTTAGAAACTGCTGATGAACTTTCGGCAGTTTGCGGTGAATTATTAAACAAAAGCCATCTGTTTAGCCACTCTTGGCATTTAACATTAACGTCCACAGTTTCTTGTGATTGCGATGTTTCTAACAAAACTTTCTCCGTCAAACCAGAGGTTGACACGGCGCAAACTAAGTCAGCACGATTTTCATTGTCGCGCGGTGAAATTCTGTCTTGAATCTGTTGAGAAGTCACATAATCGACAGGGCAGCTAATACATTGCCTGTTTAAATCCAGTCTTTCAAGATCCGAGAATTCAACTCGGCGTTGTCCGCAGTTACAAGTCGCTCTGCTCATATCCACTACATGTTCTTTGTTAACGCGCCGTTCCGTGAAAGGAAACGGTGGACCGGCCGAACTGCGTTTTCCTAAAAGGCGGCGCCTGGTTTTGAGAACGGCCAGTGAAGTATCTGATTGCTTTATTGCTTCGCCGTCATACGAATTTCGCCTGGTCTTTAAGATAACGTCCCTTAGTTTAACACAATGTTCATTTGTTTGTAAAGTGCAGTTCGACGTTTCACCATTGTGATGAGTTGAAAAACTTTTAAACGCTACCAGATCTGCATGGAGGGATTGCTGCGACTGAACACACATATTGGCTCGTGTTGTCAACCTGTCTGTGTTTCTTACAACAGTTTTATTATCCCGGTTTAAAATCGTCTTGAAGTCCATTGTTATTCTCCGTGTCTTTTCACTGCGCGAAACACGATTGCCTGTCGTGTGATCAGGTGAAGTTTCCGATCTCGAACTGTTGGAAGTGTTCGACACCTTGTCGGACTCATTCGGAGAATCAACGAAGAGCGGTGTAGCTGTTTCATCGATAAAATCTTCGCAAAATCCACTGTCGGTTTTCGAAAGACGACTCCGTTGTTTTCTTTGTTTCTTTTCGTAGCCTGACGAGAAAAGTTCGGGGGAATCGTCTACGTTTCCGCTTTGAAAGTTCAGTTTAGATATAAACAATCCTTCTAAGTCTTCGGCGCATTTACCTCCAAATTCTTCTGACATATACGCACTGTCTCGGAGCCGACCTGGTTTTGCGATCTGTTGAATGGTTTTCCTTTCTTGTCCGTTCATTGCTTCTCTTACTTCCCTCCGACTTTCACAAGCTGTTTTGCAGTTTTGTGTTGGTTGTGTAGTTGTTATGTTAGGAAGAACTAAACTCTCCTTTGTTTGAATCAGTTCAATAGATTGTCTTGTCCCTAGCACTTTTCCTTTCCTTATACGCGCTCTCTCAGCTGCGAAATCTTTGGGAGTCCTTTCAACTGTTTCTCCAAAGGCAAACATGTTCCTTCTGAACGAAATTCAATTTTTTTCACCTCTTTCTGGTAACCAAGGTTCTTCACCCGTCGTAAACACAAGCTCTAATTGCTTTCAAAGGAGGCGGTTTCTTTCAAAGACCACAGTTAGTGAAAGTAATGAACTGTCTATGGTCCCGAAGTGCGAAGTATACTAATAACTTATTGATTGCCTTAGTAACTAATGAAACACAAGATTTGTCTCTTGAAATCTCTCTCAAACTGCGACTTGACTCGTATACGTTTTGGCCATTGTCCGATACCGAACGCAATTAATTTAGCCCACGAAACGAGCGTCTGTTTTGTAACATTTTTTTGTTGAGAAGTCACGTTCTGTATCTGCAGTTGTCCACGCAGTGTTTTGCATGTAATGACATCTTTTGTTTAACAAACAAACGCAGAACATTCCAGGCGAAGTACGAATAATTTAATTCCAATTTTACAATTGGGCTTCTTTGCCTATCGCATTCTGTTTTAGAACTACTCTCTAGCCCAGGAAACTTGTTTTAACTCTAATATCCGCCACTGAATTTTGTCTTTAGATACGTCCCTTGATGAGATATTTCTTTAATTACGTTCAAAACTACGTTCCCTGTGTCACGGTCACACAGCGCGAAAAAAAAGCAAACAATAACGTCGTAATTTGTAAGTACGTATTGTTTACCGTTTTCTTCTGAATAAGTTTTAAACCCTCTTTTTAATGATAAAAGCTTTGCATCAAAGCACATGAATGGTGATTATAAGTGCAGAAATTGCGTCACAAAGTTCATTCTAGTAAACGCTTCAATGCTTTGGCTGCAATTTTACGTTCAGGGGCACACGTCGTTAACAATCTTATGATCCAATCCACTTCGATTACAATTTTTGTGCAAATATTTACCTCTTGGTGACAACACCATAATAACGTCACAAGTACTAGAAAATGCGATTTTGTTAATTGAAGTTTCGGCCACGTTGATTCATTATTCTTGGGATTACTGTAAGAAACCACGTGCAATATATTTTCTAGGCGTGTGGAGCATACAAATTGTTCCAAATGATTGGCTAGCGTTACCGAATACCTTTAGAGGTGTCTCGCGTCCAAGCGACGTAGCACGCCCGGTTTAGCTGTAGATACCTAAACCCCTATATCAAACTTAAGTTTATAGAGCTGACTATCAAACTATAGCAATAATTTTGGAATAAAATGAATTGTGGAATTTTTTACGACCTCTAAATGCCAGCGTCCGAACCACCTTTTGAAGACTACAAGTCAAAGCGAATTCTGTTTTTCGCTTATTTAAATTGTCCCTCAGTTTCCGGACTCAAAGCGCTAAAAAGTGTCTGCGATTTGCCATAATCAATTTCAGTGAAAAGTTACAGAACATTTTCGAAATAGGATTACAAAATGTGAAGTGATCGTAGAAAAATCGTCCTAGGAAAAAAAAAAAA